CACAGTAGGTCATCATGGGTCATGGTAAGAACTTAAGTAGCTCTCATGACATTGTTTTCATCCACAAGGAAACCGTTCAGTCTTACAACAGTACATGTGAGAGGCAGCATTTAGCCGGGATGTCTCTGAATGGGGCTTTCACCCCTCTCCTGTCTGCCCCCTCTCTCTCTGCTAGCTCCTCCTTCCCCATCAAGCTTTGGAGGCAGCTGGGAACCTTGGTCTTGCTGTCTCCTATAGAGAGAATTCTCAGTGTGTGGGCTGGTAGGGCCTCTAAAAATGGTCACAGTGGAAGGTCTATGTTGGTACTTGTCAGTGATGTGGATGATGACCGGAAAGTGCAAGCTCTGATGCATGACAGGACTTGGGAGGGAGGATGACATACCCTGTGATGGAGGTGGGAGTCAAGGAGGCAGGTGGCAGACTCGGACTACCGACAGCTGTGCACCCCTGGGAGGCCTGGGGCGTCTCCCTAGAGGCAGGCAGCTTGCGGAGGGAAGACATGTTTGGGGTTAGAACATGGAGTGCCCACCCAGTCACATGTTTGGGGGCCAGGTTGGAGTCCCAGGGGCGAAGGGCATGGATGAGGCCCCCAGGGCATGAGTTTTGCTGTCTAGGGGGGAGACTGGCTCCAGCTAGAACAGCAGCCATACCCTGGGTGTGCTCAGCATTAGGGAGTGGAGTCGGTGTCCGGATGGCTTCGGGCACACAGTGACATCATCGCCCCCCGTGGTCTCTTCTCCCTCAGAGCCTGGCCCAGCAGAGGACCCGGTGCTGTGGTGTGGGTCCAGCCTCGCCCTCCTGGTAGGTGGGCTTGAAGGTCCGTGTTGTCAGAGCCCATGTGGGGGGTTTGAACAGAGAGTGCGTGAGTATGGGTCCCCCCATATTAGAAAGAGGGGGCTCCCCAGGCACAGTGGGTGCTGGCATTGAGGAGACAACCCCTAAGTGACGCATAGGTGGTCTCCCCAGCCTCCCTGCCGGGACATGCGGTTCCGTCAGGATGGCTCAGGGACCTGGCTGCTCTGTGCCTGACCCCTATCCTCGCTCTCCTCCTCTTTCCTGGGTCTCAGTTTGTACTTCTGTCTCATTTCCTCTGGAACCCAGGCAGGTTGACCTCTGCTGGGGACCTGCATCCTGGCTCACTTTCCTAAGCCTTCCGGGTGGGCAAGGGGAAGCTGCAGTCCCTTCTCCCATTGCCGCCTCTGTCCTGTCACCCCCCAAACAGTGCGGTCTTCATCCTGGTGGGGCGAACCCTCCTTCTCTCCTCTGGACCCACCTCTTCCTCGGTCTTCTCATGTCATGCTGCCTGCATCTCCCCGCCTCTCCCCGGGGGATGGTGCCCACGACCTCAAACTGTCAGCTGCTCTTTCACGCTCACTTAGAGCGCATTGCAGACGGACTGCGCCAGGAGCTTCCAGGAACACGTGCAGGTCAGCATTTGGAATGTGAGGACCGAGGGCAGGCCTGTGTGTTATTGACCAGGAGGGGAAGGCTGGGGTGCCCTTCTCAGAGGCAGATGCGGTCCTCCTTCAGGTCGGCCTGCTCAGGTATGTGTGGCAGGGGCAGAGCCATGACACATAGGATCCTAGAAATTGTCCACCTTGCTCTTCTGTGGGACTTGGTCCCCCACCCCATCACTGCCTCCTGTGGCTGAGCAATTCCTTCCTGAGGCTGCTCTGCCCCTTCTTGCCCCCCACCTACTGGTGCTGCTTCCACCTCCCTTTCATCACTGACCTAAGGAATTGCCTTTCAAGGACAGCTTCCTGCGCCGACCTCTGCCCATCTCCATGTAGGCCCCTCCAATAGCCTGTGGTTACGTCTCTACAGCAGGATGGCCAGAGCATGGGCCACCCCAGCTACTATTTTTAGCGTCTCGCACAAGGTCAAGATGGCTGTCTCTTTCAGGGAAGGGGCTGCTGATGTCCTTGTTCACTCCAGTGTCCACTGCAGGGTTCGGTGGAAACCAAGTGCTCAGAATAGAGGGATGTGAGGGAGGATGCAACAAGGCGAATGCAGGGTCTCTGCCCATCACCAGGAACAGTGCCGTCACTGGTTGAGAGCAGTGGGCAAATAGGCTTAGCCTTGTGATTACCAAGCAGGGGCAGGGGTAGTGGCTTAAAGATCTTTCGTCTTAGTCTGCTTCTTAAATACTGTGGGTGAGTATGTGAACATGTGTATGTATTGGGGAGGGGGTTCCCTGGCCTCCCAGTACCCATTGAGCACCCTTGTCTTCCCAGCATGCCACAGACAGAGGGACAGACCCGCGCGGGTGGGTGGAGCCTGGCTTGGCTGCCAAGGATACTTGGGCACCTGCTGCTGCTCTTGGCCAGTGGCCAGGGCTGAGGAGTCAATGCCTGAACTGCTGCTGGGGTCCCCAGGTGACTCAGACCTGGGTAGGGATGATGGGTTTTGTCATATCTTTGAATAATTTAAGAGCAACTTCCATTTGTGGGGATTTGCTTTGAAGGTCTCACAATGTCTTAGTGGTCAAGTGGGCTGCACGTGTGTGAGTTTAAAAGGAGTTAGTTCCACAGCCTAGAACTTCAAGTTTACATCTTAAATAATGGAGTTCCGTAGCACTGACTGAAGCCCTGCTTCCCGGGCCCTGTGCAGCCTCATGGGATGTGCTCCTGGAGGTCAGGATCATTGGGACGGGATCATTGGGACAGGGGCCTCCCAGGCAATGGGTCCCTTCTCTCTGAGCCTAACCTGTGCTTTTCCATGGAAGGGAATGGAAGGTGTCGGACTTGCCCGTATTAGGGGGTTTGTGATGGAGTCGTGTGGCCCTAGGCCTTTCCTTCCCCCCTGTGACGTGGCGAATAGCAATAGGCAGGTTTCTGTCTCAGAAGAAGTGGTTGATTTATAGGAGCTAGAATAGACCAACCCCAGAAGCCCCCGGGGGTGGTTCCTGGGGCCGAGTTCTCCCCTTTCTGAACCCAAATTAAAAATATGGTCGGGAACGAGAAGTTATGCAAAGGAATGAACAATCCCCAATGTCATGATGTGCAGAATTTACACGTAAAAGTGTTGTGTGTTTTTTAAAACTGCTGATAGGAAGAACAGGAGCTAAATACGTAGGGCTAGAATGAGCTGTTTTTTTCAACTTCCAATCTTTCCTCTTGATCAAGGAAATGTTGATATTTTTGAAAAGAGGCCGTGTTCAGAGTTGAGGGATTTGTGATGGAATTCCAGCTTGACTCCTCCCTGTGTGTGTGTATAGAAACACACGATATGTGCATACAAAGCCTATCAGCGTTTCAATGGGAGAAGGGGTGTGAGGTGGGAAATTCTTGGTGCGTGGAGCAGCTACTCTGTATTTTAAAACCCTTTGCGGTCCAATGTTATTTTTGGAATTCAAACAGTCTGGTCCAAATTAATTGACGGGGTTGAATGGTGAACTTTTTAATGTTCTTATTGCTCGATGTTGGACCTGCTTCTAGCGCCTGGTCTGTCATGTCAGCCTCGAGGTTGGACCGAAAAGGGTTAATTATGCCTGGAAAGGAACTTTTTGACGGGTGAGTGCAGACGAAACACGATTCTATGAGGGCTGTGATTTTTTCCTTCAAGAATGACTTCCTGGATGTGAGGGCGATCTGGCTGCGACATCTGTCACCCCATTGATCGCCAGGGTTGATTCGGCTGATCTGGCTTGCTAGGCCGGTGTCCCCCTCCTCCCTCACCAATCCATGTGCGCTTGCTCCGTCGAAGAGGACGGCCTTCCCCCCAGAGGAGAGGACCAGTCTTCGGTCAAGGGTATACGAGTAGCTGCGCTCCCCTGCTAGAACCTCCAAACAAGCTCTCAAGAATGACTTCCTTTGTGGGGCAATAAGAAGCCTTCAGGAAGTTATCGTTCCTGGCACGGCTGGTTTTTCAGCGGCAAAATGAACCTGCGTTGGGTCATTTAGAGTAATTTTGCTTTCTACGTTAATTAACGGAATGATTCTCCCTGTTTGACAATGAAATATGGCACAGGAACATGAGGCAGACTCCCTTTTATTTAAGAGAGCCAGGTCTCCTGCATTTCAATCGGGAGCCACCGCCGTTATCAGCAAAGAAGGCGAGCAGACAGAGGGTGGGTGAGCTTCTCTGGGCTGACGTGTTCCCTGAGCACCAAATTGTAGTGTCTGCGGGCACCATCTGAAGATCTTCTTAAAATACAGTGGAACCTTGTTTCTTGAACAATTCGCTTCTCAACGTGACAACCCTTTCATGCTGATGCATGAGTATGAGGCAGTTTACCACTGTTAACATCTCAGGATATTGTGCTGTGAATATTTTTGTGGGTTATAATTGTTAAATTCTCATTTTTTACTGTACATTTCTTTGTTTTTAAAGTCTTGATTGATAGATTAAACAGTACAATAGACATGTACTGTATATAAGAAAGGTTACAACAGGGAATCATTTGGGGGCCTGGAATGGATTAATTCAACTTACATTATTTCTAATGGGAAAAAATGATTCCGAACAGCCTTCCTGAGCTCATGACGTTTGAGAAACGCGGTTCCACTGTACAGGAGCTGATCCAGAGGCCTGGGATGGGCCCCGAGACCCTGCATTTGTAACAACCTCTTGGGTGAACCCCATTTGAAGTTGTGTATGAGACAGAAGTTACTAGACAGTGTAGGAAACCTTAGGAAATGCATTTGACAAACTCAAGGAGAAGCTGTAAGTCCCTCAGGCCACGTACCTAGATATGCAAGCACAGCAACTTGATTCAAGGATTTCTTGATGGTCGATCTATGGGCGCAAATACCAATGGCAGTTTTCATCCTGAAGATACCGCTCCTAGGGGAAAACAGATGTTCCAGGGATGAGTGTACCTGGCCAGGTTATGTAAAAACGACTCCAATAATTAGGTTTGTGCGTTCAGTTCCTTTGATGTCGGTGAAAATGCTTTAATTTCGGCGTACACAGCCCAAGCTATGTTAGGCTCTACTTTGGGATGAAGATGTATAAAAGTGCTGTCTGATTTGGGCTTTTGTTCTTATTAACATGCCCAGTGGGACTTCTTACAGAGGGTCGATGTGTCAAGAACACTATCCAAAATGAACCACGAGGAAACACATGTAAGTACCCTTCCTAATGCATTCGATTTTAAAACGAGGAATGTGAACGTCACAAACAAGAGACAGGAAGTGGGTTGTAACCCTGAGTCTATCACTCACTTGTTCTGTAGTCTTGGGTGAAGCTTTTCTCTAAGTCCCTGCATCTCTGTTCATCATCCCAGGTTGCTGGCAGCATCATGAGGGCTGAACGGGAAAGTTCTAGGAGGCAAAATAATGCTGTTTAGAGACGACCATACATCCCTTTTCTGAGAAGGACCCCTTGTATCCTCACCCCAGTCAAGGAGACATGATTCTGCCCTCCTGGGTCACAGTTGATTGTCCAGAAATATAGACCCAGAGTCTGGTTGTGCTATGGATAGAGGCACTCCAAGGGCCTCCATCTCGAACAGTGCTCTGCAACGGGACTTCTAGAGCGAAAACTACCCAATAGCATAGCCACATGTGACTAGTGTGACTGAGGGACTAAATTACATTGGACGGCACTGCTCTAGAGTCGTCTTATGGCCTTGGGCATCTAGGGAAATCCCAAGAGCCTCTTATGTCCTTTGCCTAATTTTGGCTGTTCAACTGTTACATCAATTTCATGAGACACCCCAGGAGCTCTTTAATAAATGCCCCCATTTATTTCCACTAGGCAAAGGAGACTTAAGACAGCTCTGAAGTAAGAGCTTAACTACTATTCTTTTGTGGAGGGATGTCTGTCCATCACAGTGAGCCACACAGAGGCGAAGATGTTGGGCCTCTTATTGCCCACCTAGTACCCTGAGCAAACTACCTTACCACGTCACAGGCAATCCTGTTTAAATATGAAAGAATCCATGGCATGATGAAGGTGACTTATTTATGTGACAGTTCCATGACACTCATGGAGCATCAGCCTGGGGAGCTGGAAATCTGAGCTCATGTTCTACCCTTAGTCTAGGTGAGAAGCTATGTTGTCACTGAGCCTCAATAGCCATGTGATTATAATGAGGAGGCTTTAAAAGTAGAGTATCGTCCCACTAGACCCGTGGTTGGCAAACTGCGGCTCTTTGGCTCCTTCAGTGTGGCCACGAAGTTTCAATCGCACTGTATGTGCGTGCCCGCACGTGGTATTTTGTGGAAGAGCCACACTCAAGGGGCCGCAGTTTGTTGACCACTGCACTAGACCATAATAAGCTAGAAGCAGTGAGAGCCTTCCCACTGTGGAATACACTCTTGTTGCAGGTGGATACAGGGGTGGGCAAAAGTAGGTCTACAGTTGGTCATATGGTAATTTAATACAATAATTAATAAGAATAAAATTTCACATATTTGCTACTGTAAACCTACTTTTGCCCACTCCTGTATGATAAAAATCAATGTGTTTCCTCGGATCTGGTCTAGAGGGCAGATGGGAAGCTTCATCTTGAAGCTGGACCAGATTTGGATGTACAGGTGCTCATTCCTTTAAAAGTGTCCTAGCTTGACATTTGTGGGCACAGTCTGATTGTCAGTGATCTGGAGCCACTTCATGCCATTTGATTCCCCCCTCCCCCAATAAAACGAATGGGAACGTTCCAGCTTAAACATTGTACCCATTATCACATCATAGTCTTACCACCCTCCTAAGGAGCTTGCGAGGTAGATGTCCTTGTCTTGCCATCATTGTCATCAACACTTCCTTGCTCTTCTTCGCAGGCGGGGACAACGGAAGCCAGCTGATGCAGATCCCACTGTTAAGAAGAGGAGACAACAGAATTCACAACCAGGTCTTCTAAGTCTAACCCTTAGAGAACATCTGCTTTACAATTGTGTGGACACAGTTGAAATAACATATGTTTGGAGAAAAAAATGTGAAGCAAATTAAAGATTGCATTTTAAGAGATGAGAAGGGCAAGAGTGTCATTTAGGGGGCGGGGGAGTCTACATTGTGTGGTGGGATAATGCCTACAGGATAAAAAATAGACTATTACGGCGGAATCTGGAGCAGGCCTTCCCGTAAGCAGGTTTGCTACAGAAAGGTTAAATGACTTGCCTAAGATCACAGAAGTGAAAGTTGGCCAAACTTCACACCTGAGATCACCCTGACCACAGAGCTCAAGTGATGAGATTATGACTCTTTAATAAACATCTTTGTTTCACTGGTACCACCTGAAGAGGAGGAGCCCTGTGTGCACTGGGTATGTCATAGGACTTGAAAGCCCCAATGTGATGGTGGCAACGTCACAGGCCCAGTGGGAGGTAGGCCTCAAAGACACCAGCTTCTCTTAGACATTTCCTATCTGATGTTAACACTTAAATGCCATGGCTTTTCTAACTGGGGCGGATAATTGCTCTCCCACTCACTGCATTGTATCTGATAGAATGCACCTTATTTATCTTTGTACTACATTACCAAGCTCAGAGCCAGACACAGTGGAATCTGTCGGACGCATGAATCATTCTGAGCCCTGATATTGCTAACAGATAAGCACACACGCACTGTTCTCCTGGAAAGCACTACTTAGATATTACATGTGAATGCAGGTTAACAAGCATTCAGGTTATCTCATTAAAGGTTACAGAACCACTGTCACTTGAGCTGGGTGGCTAAGGAAGACCCTGTATTTGGACCAAAATGGTATTCCCACCATAAGGTTCTGATATATCGGCGGCCTCGTGGGAATTTTTAGAACAGGCCAAGCCAGGTGAACATATGGGAAACCCACGTTGAAGATGCAGGTGGGGGACTCTGAGGGCAAGCACACCTGAAGGTACCACTCAGCTGCAGGCTATCTTGGAGATGGACAGCCACCCACTATGAAGGTGGGATGGTAGGCTTTCTAGATAAACAATGACTTTGCTGATATCCCAGTGCTGGGATGACTCATAAGGCTTAGGTCCTGATATACCTGACCTACTGTATGATCTATAAAGGATGGTTATACTGGAGACTTTCTACCAATATCAAGGGCTGAGCTCACATGACTCTTGCTTATAACTCACATATTCCCAAGAGGAAGAGGCAGTCAAAAGGGGGGTGGGGTGACCAGGCATGTGGAGGACTCAGATGACGGCACATTAGCAAGGATTGGGAGGCACTGTGATGGTTAGCTAAGGGGACAGATGCTCATGGGGAGGGAGAAAATTGTTTAGATGCCATTAGGGCTGATAATTCAATGATAATCCAAGTGTTCAGTTTGATACAAGATTTTATAGAAGGGATACATGGGTGATAGTTTACCTAGACAGAGTGCCCTGAGGACAAGGGGCCACCTGTTTCGTAACCTCTGTGTGTGGCTCTGTGTCAACCACACCATCCAGTATCAACAAGTGTTGGTTGACATGAACTGAACAAAGTCACTAACCTTATCAGATGAGGGACCTTTAGGGGAATCAGAATAGTCTGAGAAGCATAAGGGCTTCCTGGGTTGGTTATAAGTTCTGTCACTAGATATTTATTATCAGAGTCCGGGATAGTCACCTGTCAGGTGATTTGTCCATGTGAGAGATGCCACAGTGATATAAATAAATAATGATAACTAATGGACACATCGTAATCTATACCATTAACTATCAGTCCTTGGAGCTGAAGTGGGTTTGGGGTCTGAAGGGCAAGCCTCTGAAGTGGGAGGAGAGGATTAGCTGGGGAGGGGAGTCCAGGTTCCTGATTAAATATGTGCCTTTACAACAATTGGATTCTAATGTTGCCAAGACCTAATGTCTTTCCCCGAGAAACTGTCCAGCTGCCCTGCCAAGGTCTCCGTGGGTCATCTTTTGCTGAGCCTGGTGGGTCAGAGAGTACTTCCACCTCTACCAACTAGACATAATTGTTATCATTTCCCTATTATCAGGTTTTACCCTGCCCTAAGAGTTTGACAGATATCTCCTTACCTTGCATCCATCTCGCTCTTCCTCATTCCTGAAAGGTGCACTGCAGGGCTTCAGGTGAGCACCATGAACTTCCAGGTGACTGTGGCCAAGTCAGGTAACCTGTGTAAAAGGAGGGATCCTTTGAGTTTCCTCCTCGAGTCCCTTCCTTTTCTAATGTATCTTGGACACAGTGTGCACCAGGCACCGTGCAGGATAAATAAAGATAAAAGACCCATTTTCCAATTTCGGGAACTTGGGTCTAGATCTGGAGGTTCACATAAGTGAGAACGCACAGCAACAACCGAGACCACATGACTGGCAGACCTTGGCTGTGTTGAAAGAAAAGGGGCGACAGTGAGTTCTACTAACAGTTAGAAGGAGGGCAGTCCAGGGAAGAGTTCCTGGAAATGTTGGGCAGATAGCTGGGGTTTTATGTTTAAAAAAGAATGAAACTAATGGGGACAAACCAGGCAGAAGGGCTTCCCAGCAATGGTGGGGAAGGAACATTGTGCATCAAATCCTAAGTCTTAAACAAGGTGAAGGGCAAACAAGGTGTTTTGTTTCACATGGGTGCGTTTGGGAGGCCAGATACCGGACATCTTTAAATGCCAGGCTCAGGGGGTAGGGCCTCCCAATGAATGAATGAATGTGACAGGAAGCCTCTGAAGGTTGAACAGGGCGAGGCCTTATACATAGCTTCTTGGGGAAAAGAGCCTGGCAGCTTGGAGGAACATGGGTTGGTTGCACGGGACAGAGATAGAAGGCAGAGAAACTAGCCAGGAATGTCTTATTCCAAGTGGGCTATTTTTCTATTGGGGAAAAAAAAATACACGAAAAAAACCCCAAACGCTAAGCTTCCAATGAACTGCCTTTTATTATGACACGGAAGCCATAAAGGCAGTGATGTATACAAACGCAGTGCAGGATGTTTTGAGTGGCTTTATGAAATAAAAACAGTAGGAGGTGGTTAAAATCGGAATGTCCCGCATCAGGTTATAACCATCTGAGTGTGGGAACTCGTAGCGGCCGTGCAATCACATTTTTATAGCTCTGCTTGGTCCTTTCCCTCAGATAACAGAACTCCGAGTGGGTAAGGAGGGGAAAGCCAGCAAATCAGTGCCATTAAGTAGTGAAGGATTGAGAGTCTTTGAATTTCAACGGCCACAGTAGTTACCAGATGGATACCAAAAAAATCATTATTTCCCCACATTTGAAATACCTGCGCTGTGAATGAGGGTAAGATGAATACTTGGGAGATCTGGCTTCCTAACAAAATAATGATTGGGAGGAAGCAGACATAGGGTTTGAGATGGGCCTTGAAGGAGGAGTCAAGATCGAGGCAGGTGAACAGACGGGAAGAGGCAGGTAGCATGACCATAAGAACAATTTGAACTGTTACGCAGGACTGCTCAACAGGTACCCACAAAATGTCAATCATCAGGTTGTGGCCCACTTGCCTCCCCTGAACTACATACAGCATGATGCTGGGGTAGGGCCCAGACAGACCTGCATCGCATTCAGCTCCACCACTCATGACCATTCATGACCTTGACCTCTCTGCCTCAGTCTGTCAGTACGTGGGGTCAGCACCCCTCACGGCACTGGCGTAACACTAAACAAGATGCCATCGTAAAGTCCCTCCCAGGAGCGGCCTATAGCAGGGTCTCAGGAAGCCCTGGCTCTCAGGTCAGGTCCTTGCCCTGGCTTCCAGGTAAGACCCGTGGGAGCTCCGAGTGAGAGCTGCTCGGTGAACTTGAGTTTGCCCAGCCAAGGCTGTCTGTCCCGGTACACGTCGCTGTCAGCACCCCCTCGTAGTCTCCACACCCATATTGAGTTGATCTAGAACACACAGCCTCATTTCCAGAGATTTCCTTTCCCTGCCTTTTTCTGAAAGGCTCACAGCTCCTATCCTGGAGGACCAGGGTGCTCACAGCTTCTGAAGGACACGCTGTGGGGAAAACCACCTCAGCTGCCTGGGGACAGGCTCGGAGGTACCACTTCCCACCTGCTCACCCGACATGAGCCTCCTGAGGCGGGGACCAGATGAAACGCATGATGCCCAGTTAAGTTTACATTTAAGATGAATCAGAAATATTTTTAAGTATAAGAAATATTTGGAATGTACGTATGCTAAAAAAAAAAAGTGCCTGTCCAAAATGCAAATAGCAAATAGAAATACACATGCTGCCCAGTGCCATGTCTGATGACCCTATGTCTACGGTGCAGTGAGCTCAGGGGGAGAGACGATCAGTTTTATCAGAGGGTTGGGGGGATTTCAGATCCTCATTCAGTCACTTACTGGTGGTAAAACCTTTCACTTCTTGGAGAACCAGGATGTTTACAGATGAAGACACGCCTCTCATAGTTCCTGGACAGATAATGTGAGATAACATCAGCCGGTGTGGCTGCCACATGTCCCCGTGCCTAACAGAAGTCACATCAGATAAAGTAACTCTCTGTGCTGCTTGTTTAAAGCGCGTTATAAATAGTGCACCTCCCGGAAACCGTACAGGCTCATCATTGCTATTTTTGCCCAGGGCCACCCAACGCGTAGGTGGTACTTCTGAGAGCATAAATCAGAGTGTTCAGCTCCCACCCAAGGCCTCTCGGTGACCCCCCTCCTCTCTTGAAGCCTTTCCCACACGAGTCAGTGTTGTCCTCAGTCAGCTGAAGACAGACTCGAGATAAACTGTATTCCCAGCCTTTGCCACCCGACCCATTGCTATGGCGTCCTTAACGGCAAGGTCCTGGAGAGCAGGATTCCCCAGGAAAGCATTTTTATCTTTCATGATTGTTTCCAAAGGTGGGAAATCAGTCTTAGGTAAAAGAAGGAGGGGTGTGGTGGCGTTGAAGCCAGAGTCAGCCTCACCCAGCACACGGGTTGTACGACAGTCCAGTCATTGCTCGTGAACAGTTAAGGTGGCGCTCCTGCT